CAGGCCTTCCCAATGTGCTACATCCCCAGTTCTTTTTACATTTGTAAAATTTTGAGACAGGGTTTCGCTAAATCACTAAGTTGCCCAAACTGGCCTCTGACTTTTGATCCTCCTGCCTCAGCCTCCCAGAGTGTTGGGATTACAGGCATGTACCATTACAGGCATGTACCATTACTTAGCCTCTCCGTACCTCGGCTTCCACTTCTGTAAAATGAGGACAGTGATAGCACCCATCTCACAGAGTTGTTCTGAGGATTAAATGAGTGCGTATGTTGGGATCCTGGCACATAAAAGTGCTACAGAAAATTAAATGAAAAAGAAATCATTCCATTCATTCATGAATATTTACTGACCAGTTCGTGTGGGCCTGGCACTGTTGGAGTTTATAATCTCGGGGGTGGGGTGGTGGTGCAGACATGATATATAAGGCAAATCAGCGAAGTTTACAGTCTGTGGGATCCAAGTGGAGACAGGAGAGATGCTGAGTGACTGGCGAGGCCACGACACTAGCATCTGGACCCTGGTAAGGCTCGGGAGATGGAAGGGGAAGGAAGGGCCTGAACGAGCAGCAGGGGGAAATCCCCAGCACACACTGGGGCTGTTGAAACCCTGAGTAGCAATCACCACCACCACTGTCCTGTGACAGCAGACGCATTTATATAGCACTATTGCAGAGCAGACACTTACATCATCTCCTCTTCCACACGGCAGCCCTGTGGGTTTGGTATTATTCTTCTTCCCATACGAGCTCTGCTACAGTTAAGTAACTAGGGGCATGGAGAGAATAGGGGGATGGCACAGTGCAAGTGCACCTGCCTGGCAAGTGCAAGGTCCTGAGTTTGATTCCTAGTACCACAAAAAGAAACCTTGCAAGAATACATGCTATCAGTGTGATCTCACTTTTGTGGTGGTGGCCAGGGACATAGCTCAGTGGTATAGCACCTGCCTAGCAAGTACAAGGTCCTGAGTTCAATTCCTGGCAAAAAAAAAAAAAAAAAAACTTTTGTGGTGGTGCACACTTGTAATCCCAGCACTTGGGAGGCTGAGGCAGAAGGATCGTTGCAAGTTCGAGACCAGCCTGGGCTACAAAACGAGCTCAAAGCCAGCCTGAACTGCAGAGCAAGACCCTGTCTCAAAAAGACCAAAAAAAAAAAAAAAAAAAAAAAATGGCGGGAGGGATGAGCTGGAAGCCCAGCCCAGGTCCTCTGGCTCCAGTGCTGGTAGATCAGACCTGCAAGTACGGGGACAGAATAGGTTGCTAAGTCCAGGACCAGGCAGAGTCTCAGCTTCAGGCAGAGTGGAAGGAATATACGCACCCCAGCACCTCCACACCCAAGACTCACTCTACTCAATAGCAGGCGCCCCGGCAGGGGACACAAGCACACTTCCTGGCTGCTCAGACAGCTGGGGTCGGCGGTGGAGTGCTTCACCCCAGAGCCAGATCCTGAGATGGTAAGAGACCCCAATAACGCCATTCTGCAACTGGGGACCAAGACGGCATCTTATCAAAGGGTCAGAAGCATACAGCAGATGGGACAGGTGAGCCCAGAGCTCAATGCCCGGGCATAAAAGCCCAGAGAAGGGGAACCCTCACCAATTCACCAGCTCCGTTGCCACTCCTGCCATACTGGGATTCAGCCCAGGGTCTTCCTCCCCGGCCCTCTTCTTTGTTTACTTGTACACAGGTTCTCAGTGAGTGGCCCAGGCTGAGCTCAGACTTGCTGTCTTCCTGCCTCAGCGTGCCAGAGCGCTAGGGTAACAGGTGTATGCTATAGAACCAGCTTCCCGATCTCTGTCGATATTGTCCGAATCTCACCCTGGGCAAGGCCAAAACTGCCAGACCATGTTCTCAAATGGGGAAACTGAGTCCCATAGAAGGGAACGAACTAGTCAAGATCACAGGCAGGACTAGGAGTCAGGTGTCCAAGAGCCCTTTACACGGTATCACAGACAGGGTGTGAGACAGGCGGAAAGACGGGGCAGGAGGCAAGCAGCAGCTAATCCGAGGGACAGAGGCTAATACGGGACTACCATGATCTTCAGGGGAGCCCCAGCCGCAGACCTTGGCCTCCTGCAAAGCCCTCCAACCCGCAGTCCCTCTGTGGGTTGATCAGAGAGCACCCCCCCAACACTCCTACATTCCCAAGTCCGGGCAAGCTGGGTAGTAAAGGGACAAGAAGGGCCAAATCCTCTGATGCAGAAGCAGACAGCACTTGACACTCTCGGGCTGCACAATCACTAAACTTTATTTCATTTTAGAAACTGGATCTCACCATGTAGTTCAGGCTGGTCTTGACTATGTAGCCCAGGCTGGCCTCGACCTTGCAGCGATCCTCCTGCCTCAGCCTCTTGAGTGCTGGGATTACAGGCGTGCGCCACCATGCCTGTCACTAAACTTTAGAGCAGGGCATATAGATAAGGATGGTCCCTTCATCCTCCTACCACCACCCATTGTACAGATGAGAGATCAAGGCCCAGAGATAGGAAGTGCCTCTCCAGAAGTTCAGAGCAACTCCGAGATAGGAATCCAGGTCTCCTGACCAGGGGATACTAGAGGCGGCAGTCCTTCCCTTGCTTGCGCTTTCACGCGGGGTGTCTGGAAAAAAAGCCCTGGGATCCAGAACTAATACTCCCGCTTGGCTATGCAGAGACTTGCTGAGTGACCCTGGGGACTCTTCATTTAAGTTCCAGAAGCATCAGTCCCTGATATATCTCCAGCCCCCAGGCCCGTGTCTAGCCCGTACTATGCATCCAATCAACATCAGCCAAGTGAACGTCTACAGGGGGAAGGGTTCGGGAAACGGCCCAGTAGGAACCTGACGCCTAAAGACAGGAAACCAGGGGCTTTATCTTCAGATTAAACTTCTGTTCACAAATATTTAGAGGCCCATCATGTGCTGCGTGCTGAACTTGGTTAAGTTCAAAACTAGATCTCTGGCGCACGGTAGGGGCAGGGAAGCAGCCCACACAAGGTAATGCAGACACCCCGCTCCGCCCGAGCCGCCAGAAGGTGGGCAGCCAGAGGGACCGCGGCGCTCACGCGGGGCGCCGGCCGCCCACCTGTCAGAGGCTGCGCCAGGACGATGCGGGAGGAGAGTCGTGCCTCGGTGAGGTCACGTCCCACCCCCAGATTCTCTGCCCACAAAACCCTGCAATTCTGACGCGGAGGACTCGGATCTTATTATTTTCTGACTTTCAAGGTCCCAAGAAGCTGACAGCCCCAAATTCTTTTTTTTTTTTTTTCGGTCTTTTTGAGACAGGGTCTCGTTATGCAGTTCAGGCTGGCCTTGAACTCGCAACGATCCTCCTGCCTCAGCCTCCCGAGTGCTGGGATTACAGGCGTGCGCCAGCACACCCGGCGTGCCCCACATTCTAAGTCCTCAGTCTGCCCATGGTCCGGTACCCAAAAGAATCGAAGACAAATTCAGCAGGGGTCCCACCATCGACGGCCTCAGGAGCTCTGGGGGCGGTCAGCGCCCTCCTCCCCACCTGCGGGAATTGTAGGGGCGTAGCTTGGAGGCCGGGGTCCCGGGGACGCCCCGAGACGGTGGCCCAGGGACAGTGTGGACAGAGCGGGGCACGTGACAGTCAGAGTCACGTTCTGCGGGCCCCAAAGATGGGGACGAGACGATCACGTGATGCGGGGGCGCCATGGGGTGATGTGAAACACCGGTCTCTCAGATTACGTACGAATGACGCAGTCCCACCCCTTTGGCAACTACCTGATTTCCGTCCTAGGATGGGACGGTTCCGGTCAGGGGGGCGGGCTCTCCGTCCCGGCGGCTCCGCTTCCGTTCGGGGCGTCGCAGCTTCCGGCCCTGCCTTTCCCTCGGGCGAGGAACAGAAGCGATCTCCTGCGCATGCCCCGAACCATCCCGGAGGGGCGGGACTGTGGCCGCGAGCAGGAGCGGGCGGGGGGAAGAAGGGGAATTCCAACCTGTGGAACTTCGGGGGTCCGGAGGTCGGCTCCATCCTATCGACTGTGGACACTGCAAGGGGCGGGGCCCCCCGGCGGCTCATGGAATTGTCGGGGCTCTCAGGGTGCGGGAGGGGAATGTCAGTATGAGTGGGGTCCGGGACATCCGAATTTAGGATTTTTTTTTTTGGAACCGGGAATCGAATCAGGACCTTGCGCTTGCCAGGCAGGCGCTGTGCCGCTGAGCTGTGTCCCCGGCCCCGAGTTTAGGATCTTGAGGCCCTCGGGGCTTAGGCACCGGGCAGAGGGAGCTTGGGCCGCCATGCGGGACAGGACGCACGAGCTGAGGCAGGTGAGAAGTCGGGGAACAGGGTTGGGGGCGGACGGGCTGGAGTGCAGGACTCCTGGTTTGGGGCAGGAGCGGGTGGCTGATAGCCAGGGTGGAAAATCCCGGAAGCCTGTAGGGCTTGCAAAGCGAGAGCCCCAGCAAGGAGCTGGTGCCAGTGACTCTGGCCCTGGTAGGGGGACAACAGCTCGGACGAGGAGGACGAGGAGCGAGTGGCGCTGGTGGTGCGCCCGGGCACGGCCCGTCTGGGGAGCCCGGACGATGAGTTCTTCCAGAAGGTAAGGGTCTGAGTCTTGGCCTGGCCTCCCGAGGGGGCCGGAGGGCTGAGGAGCAGCGTGGTCGGGGCGCCCATATCTCTTTCCGCCCTCCCGGTGATCCTCCCTAGGTCCGGACTATTCGGCAGAGTATGGGCAAGTTGGAGAGTAAAGTCCGGGAGTTAGAGAAGCAGCAGGCCACCATCCTGGGCATGCCCCTTCCGGAGGAGAGTAAGCAAACCCCTGGGCACACGCCTGCCCAGTCCGATGGGTTGTAGTTTTGCGCAGGTGGCGGCCAGGGTGGATGCCTTGAGGTTGGGGCTGTGCGGCCGTGATTCGGGTGGAAGTCATAGCTTTGTCTGCGTAGGCATGAAGCAGGACCTGCAGAACCTGCGCGATGAGATCACACAGCTGGGGAGCGAGATCCGAACACAGCTGCACGGTGAGCTCCTAGGACCTCGGACAGATCCTCCCCTAGGGTCCCGCCCCGTTCCTGGTGTGCCTGGGAAGTGTGTGCCCCTGAGAAGCCAGTCGTACCTCCAGGTCACACAGCAGGCCTGTGTCTGGAAGCTCTGTCCCCTGGCATCCAGTCCACGGTACTTTCCATGGCACAAGCCCGCCTCTCAGGTTCCTTCATTTACAGTGAAACAGATTACATAGTCTTCCTGCCCAGTGTGCGTTCCTCGGGCAAACAGATGCGGTTTCTGTTAGGAGGCCTCTTATCCTTGTGGGAAGCCACTTATGTAATGCAAAGAAAAATAAATTTTTTCCTCTCAGAGGTCCAGCATTAGTCCATTCGTTCATTTATTTACTTATTTAGTATTGTGGTGTTGGGGCCCAAACGCAGGGCTTGTGCATAGCAAGCACACACTTTACCACTGAGCTACATCCCCCGCCCTTAGTCATTATATAAATCCTACTTCCCTAAAAAAAAAATCTAATGGAGACAAGAACCTCCCTATTTTGTAGCTGGACTATGACCCTGGCCCCGTGTCCTGGCCCCCAAAGAGTTTTCAGAAGTCTGAGATCAAGACTCCTTTGCCCACGTCCCTTGTGTCTTCCCACAGCCATAGAGCCTCAGAAAGAGGAAGCTGATGAAAATTACAATTCTATCAACACAAGAATGAGGAAAACCCAGGTGGGTTGGTTTTTTCCAGACCTAGGAAGTTTCAGCCAGTGTTTTGTAGTCAGTAAGTGATAGATGTATGAGAAGATCTGCAGCTCCAGCCCATGGTTTCCCACACGGGGAAGTTGAGTGTCAGAAAGAGAAAGGACCCAGTCATGGTGGAGAACCGGATCTTCTGATTCGGTGCTGCGTTATACATCCTGCTTTCTGCTCCTCCTTTCGATGAGGAGTTGCTGTGTCTGCAGACATGACCTAAGCTTGGCTGTGGGAGACATGCTTTCCCAGAGATGAGATGGGGAATTTGGGCTGGAGGAGACAAAGACCTTACTCACGTAGGACGTGGTGCCTGACGGCGCTGCCCAGAGGAGAGGGAGCAGTCAGAAATGACTTGGCGAGGTTTCTGCCTGTGTGACAGGGACATCTTGGCCTTGGGGGCAAATTCAGGAAATCAGGAAGAGGAACTTCCCTAGGACAACGCTGAAAAGGAACTTCCCTGGGGTGACATCTTAGTAAGGAGATTTGAAATGATCTGCCTCCCCACCCTGTGCCCACTGAGTAGTTGTTTTGGGGTTCATGGAGTTTAGGCTTGGAGAAGGGCCCTGAGCAAAGACCCCAGATCAAAGATGGAGAGGTTTGGACTTCTTGAAAGGATGCTGCTGAGTCAAGGAAAGGAGATTTGTCTCTTTAAAAGGTACTCTATCCCAGCGCTCAGGAGGCTGAGGCAGGAGGATCGCACATGAGTTTGAGACCAGCCTGGGCTACATAGAGTGTACTAATGCAAATAATATTAATAATAAAAGAAGGTACTCTAAACTGGGCGTGGTGGCACATGCCTCTAATCCAAGCGGTCTGGGAGCCTGAGACAGGAGGATCACAAGTTCGAACCCAGCCTGGGCAACTTAGAAATTTATTAACATCTTGTCTCAAAATAAAAAGCAAAAAGGGGCTGGCTCAGTACAAAGGTCCTGCATCCAACCCCCGATAGCAAGTGGGAAAAAGGAACTCTTAAGAAATGATCTTATTGGGCTGGGGATATAGCTCAGCGGCACAAGCACCTGCCTGGCAAGCACAAAAAAAAACTTATTTAAGGCATCAGTGGGACAAAATGTCCTAGAAAGGGTGTTTCGGAGAGAACGTGTGGTGGTCCTTGATGTGACAGGCCGGGGATCCAGAGGGACCTGTTACACAGGGGCAACAAGGTGACCACCATACACCCAAGCACACCTCTAGTCAAGCATCGACGCTGGCCTTTGGCATGTATACATTGAGTGCCTACTATGTACCGGAGCCTTTTTGTATAAGAAAAATCCCTATCCTTTTTCTTTTCCTTTTTTTTTTTTTAAATCCTTATCCTTGAAGCACTTCCGTTCAAGCAGGATGAGACGGTCACCATAGTAAATGAGTTAATTATTTTAGACCACAGTGACTATTAAGGAAAGCAGAGCAGCGGAAGAGGGGCAGAGAGTGGTGGGAGAAGATAGGGTTGCAATTTAAATAAGGTGGAGCGGCTGGCGGTGGAGCTCCGTGGCAGAGTGCATGCTTAGCATGCACAAGCTTCATTCCCAGCACCGCAGAAAACAGATTTAAGAAGATAAACCAGGCAGGGTGGTGTATGCCTGAGAGGCTGAGGCAGGAGGATCCTAAGTGTGAGTCCAGCCTGGGCATTTTAGCCACTGTTAAGACCCAGGGAGAAGGCCCTGGGTTTAATCCTCAGTACTGCAAAAATACATACATACGTTCATACCAGAGAGCTTCATTCAGGTGAACAGAGACGTGAAGGTGTGTAATGAACATTCTAGACAGCAGAGCAGTGGGTGCAAAGGCCTGCAATGAGGGTGTGCTTTGTACCGGAAGGATAAGGGCACCACTGTGGATGGGGTGAGAAGAGGACAGATCAGAGAGGCGACAGGGCAGGAGAAGACCATATAGGGCCATGTGGGCCCTGGCAAAGGCTTTGGCTTCCACTCAGACGTGAGGGAGACTGACAAGGTAATCAGGGTCAGTCTCCTGACAGGTCGTGCTGTCTGCTTACTGCGCCCTGGGGGTGCCGAGGCCCGAGGGGCGGCGGCCCGCAATACCCATCCCGTGTTCTCCGTCCCTAGCACGGCGTCCTGTCCCAGAAGTTTGTGGAAATCATCAACAAGTGCAATGCGGTGCAGTCCGAGTACCGGGAGAAAAATGTGGAGCGCATTCGCAGGCAGCTGAATATCAGTGAGTGGCAGCCCAGCCTCTGGGACGGGCCAGGGGGTTCGGAGCCAGCTCTGAGCGTCCATTCTCCTTCACAGTCCATCCTGGAACGGTGTCCGACGAGGAACTGGAACGGGCGTTGAACAGCGAGAAGAGTGAGGTGTTCATATCCAACGTGAGTGGCTGCGCCAGCCTCCCTGTCCTGGGCTTCCTGTCCTCTCTGAGCCCTCTTACCTTTTCACTGAGGGCAAACTGAAGCCCTGGAGGGGACTAAGGGGCCTTCCCAGAGTCACCGTCAGGCTCAAGCCTGGCTCCTAGGCCAGAGCGCTGCCCCCGGAGCCCCTCAGGAACGTCTAACCTGTTGCTGGCCGCCCAGTGCCCTGTTCCCCTATTCCTGTGACCCCAGATACTGAAGGACACACAGATGACTCGAAAGGCCCTAAATGAGATCTCAGCTCGGCACACTGAGATCCAGCAGCTGGAGCGGAGTATCCGGGAGCTTCATGAGATCTTCACTTTCCTGGCTACGGAGGTGGAGATGCAGGTGGGTGCCCTGGGAAGCCCCCCAGTCAGGAGGCTGTGCAGTCAGAACCTTCAGCTACGACCTGGGCTGACCTTCCTCAGACTCCCCACTGAGCTTTTGTGTCTGTCACCCTTGGCCATGCCCCAGGTGGCCCTGGTTTCTAACTTTAGCCAGATCCCCAGAACTCTGCCTGCCTGCACAGCTGCCCAGAGAGTCACTCCTGTATCCATTCATAGCATCCCATTTGGCCTTCTCACTTGTGCCTACCTCAGGAATAGCCTAAATGGCTCCTCTCCTACTGACAGCATCCACCATTATGCTGCTAAGAACTCCAGTCAGCGTTGCCCTCTAGAATCCAGGCATGGTGGCAGATGCTTGTAATCTCAGCTGCTTGGGAGGCTGAGGCAGGAGGGTTGCAAGTTGGTTTTGTTTGTTGGTTTGTTTAGGATTGCAAGTTGGAGGCAGCCTGGGAATTTTAGTAAGGCCTTGTCTCAAAATAAAAGTTAAATAAATAAATAAAGGTAAAAGAGCTGGGGATGCAGCTCAGGGCTCCCTGCGTTCAGTCACTAGTACCTTAGAAATAAGGTGCTCGACGGCCTGTCTCCTGAAATGTGTCCAATGTTAGGGTTTAAGTGGCATTCTCCTAACTCCGGTGTGAGGCTAAGGTAAACCTCCAGCCCTGTCCTGGAGGAGTTGATCTCTGTAGTGCTTTGGCCAATGCCCCTTTATAGCTAGGAGTCATGGGAAAGGGCTGTTGTTCCATGGGAATGTCGGGACCTGGTGGCTGGTGGTGCCAGGAGGAGGCAGAAACAAGGAGGGCTTCATAGCAGCTGGGAGACAGGCCTAGAAGAATGGGTGAATTCAGGCAGATTCGTGCGGGGACAAAAGTTCATCTGTGACAAAGGTATGAGCCGCTGGGTATGGGTACACATGCCTGTAATCTCAGCACTTGAGAGACAGGGGCAGGCCCACCGTGTCTCACCAAGGACGCGCGACGTTATCCAATCACTGTAGTGATGCCAGTGATGACAGCTGGGATGAGGACCGTGACGGATACACAGATGGCAATCAAGATTTTCTTCTGTGGGAGAGGAGGGGTCAGGGGAGGTCACTCAGGAAGGCCAGGGGCCGGGGCCAGGGCTGCACTCACCTTCGGTTAGTGACAGCAAGATCCTGCCACTAACAAACAAGTGAGCCATTTGTGGTCCTTGGCTCAAGGCCGCCACTGTACACGGAGGGTGTATGGGTCCAGGGAAGAGGGGAGAGAAGGGACCCTGTGGTTGCAGGGGGCCTGGAAGCCATCCCTAGGAGTCTGAGCTAGGTCTGGTCCTGCCAGATCTGTGTGGGGTTTTGTTTTGTTTTGTTTGTTTTTTTCCTGTACCACCGGGAATCGAACTCACAACCTCGTGCTTGCCAGGCAGGCGCTGTGCCACTGAGCTAAATCCCTAGACCCTTTTTTTTTTTTTTCTGCCAGGAGGGTCCTTTAGCATCCAGGACTGGGGTGGCCAAAGGTGCTGCTCCGCCATGGCTGGTCATCCCTGCCTCCCTGAACCACCCCATTCTCTGAGCAGGGGGAGATGATCAACCGGATTGAGAAGAACATCCTGAGCTCAGCGGACTACGTAGAACGAGGGCAGGAACACGTCAAGCTAGCCCTGGAGCACCAGAAGAAGGCGCGGAAGGTGAGTGCAGCCCCGGCCCCGGCCCCTGGCCCTCCTGAGTGACCTCCCTGACCCCTCCTGTCCCACAGAAGAAAATCATGATTGCCATCTGTGTGTCCATCACGGTCGTCATCCTGGTCGTCATCATTGGCATCACCGCAGCGATCTGATAACATCACACGTCCTTGGTGAGACACGGTGGGCCTGCCCCAGGCTGCCTGCACCTGCCTCCTCCTCCTCCCTCACACTCTTCTTCCTCCTCCCTTGCAGGCACCAGGAGCACCAGGGACCCAGGGCCCGGCCCTCTCTCCCTCCCAGCAGCTGCGGGGCCGGGTGGAGCCTCCAGCGGACCCTGTCCTCGCACTGGCCCTGCAGGGGGCCAGCGGCTCTTCTGGAGTTGGCAGCTGCTCATTCACGGGGGCGTTTCCCATTAGGCCACTCCCAGGGCAAAGGCCCACAGTGTCCTGTTTGGCTAGGACGCATGGTTTTATAAAAAATTAAAAAAAAAAAACAACTTGCAGACCCCTGTACACGTGTGTTCCTGGAGGGCTGGCCCAGGGCCTCGAGGGTGCCAGCCTCCCACCTCTCAGTCATCCCTGGCTCGGTCCACACTGCCCGCAGCAGCCACAGGCGGCTAGTTCTGCCCGTCTACTGTTCCATGCGGGAGGCTGGAGAAAGGACATAGGCATCGGGCGCCCAGCTCGGTGCTGTCTCCTGTGAGTATGCACCCCTGCACACGGCGAGGTGTTTGTGCACGTGTGAACTCTGGCATTCCTGAGGCCGAGAGCTAGAGGTATCATGGAAAGGATACTGAGTGATTGGGCCGGTTACTTTATTTATTTATTTGTCTTTTTGAGGCAGGGTCTCGCTATGCAGTTCAGGCTGGCCTTGAGCTCACTTTGTAGCCCAGGCTGGTCTCGAACTCACAATGATCCTCCTGCCTCAGCCTCCCAAGTGCTGGGATTACAGGTGTGCGCCACCACGCCCAGTAGGGCCGGTTACCTTAGATATAGTGATGGGAAGGTTTTGTCTCAGAGGGGACAATATTTATTTGAAATGTTAAATGAGGAGGAGCCAGTTACGCAAGGAGGCCCAGAAGAGCCTGGGCAGCGGGAAGAGCAGGCCGGGCCCCGTGACCAGACAGAGGCCCTGCCTTTTATGTGAGCATTCTGCTTATAGCAGGTGCCCCCTGCGGCATCCCGGGACCCTTGGAGGTTACCGGGTGAAAGCAGGTAAGGAGCATGCATCCTGCTCCTACAGGCACTTGGGTTTAAGCCCTGATGCTACATCTCGCAAGGGTGCCCAGGCCAGATGCCTAATTTCTAGAGAGGAATGTGGCTCCAGCCTAGGACACCAGGCTTCAAAGCATAAGCTGGTTCCTGGCCTCCTTGCAGTGGGCAACGTTCTGCTCTGGTTCCCAAGGTTGAGAGCTGTGTTCAGGGCACCGGCCGGCCCAGTCTGGGCTGGCTGTGAGGTCACTTGTGAGCTCATTTGTGCACTCCTGGTCCTGGGCTGAGGAGTGGCAGGAGGATGGGATCAGGTTCCTGGCCAGGCCCAGCCAACCCTGGCCTGCTGGGTTGCATCCCTGGCTGGTGGCCAACTGCACCGCCTCGCTGTGCCCCAGAAGACAGCTGTCCAGCCCGCGCGGTCCCAGCGCCAGCAGTTGGGCAGAGTGCATGGGCGTGGTCAAGCCAGTGGCTGAGTCGAGACTGGGATAGGATTGGCCCAGCAGACCTAGGCTGTCCCTAGGAGCATCGGGATTGGGCCATAGGGGAGTGATTCCTCCCACTCAGTATTCAACAGCCCCTGGAGGAAGCTGCTGTGGTGGGGCTGCCGCAAGTCCTTCCCCAAGCATCATCCGTGAGTGGTCAGACCCCAGGGTTCCCTGGGAAGATCAAACTCCAAAGGGGATGGGGAACCAAGGGCTCACAGGGGGACCGGCAGGGGCCGTGAGTTAGACACTTTAAGGAAAGTGCTCCCCGTTCCTCGGAGTGTGCAAATACAATCTAGATGACCACTGTGTGGGAAAGTGTGGTGGATCGTGTCTCAGCACCAGATGAGGCTGACTTGATCCTGGGGCTCTGGGCTCCCCAGATTCTCCATCTGTTCCCCTGCAGCCTGCATCATCACTGGACCCTGTTGGCTTCCTCTGTCCGCGTCCTCGTCTCTCTGTCTTCACAGTGAAATGCAAAACCCAGGCACCTATGGGATCCGATGCAGACTCGGCGTACACTATGCCACGTCTGCACAGCTGGATGTCCGTGTGCAGTGAGTGCGTTCTTCCACTGTGCTGACAGCGCCTGTGCGGAAGTGGAGCTCACCCGCCTCACCCAGGAAGCCGTCCAGGAAGAGGTAGCTAGATGGCCAGTCAGGTGAGGCTTTGGGTCACGAGTGGGCTCAGTAGTCTGCAGTCTCCCTGTGACCCATGGGGACCCGTGGGAGATTTGGACAGGTGTGTGACAAGCTTGGAAGCAGACCTGTCAGGGCAGTGAACAAGCGGCGCCATGCGCTGGAGCAGCCCCTGTGGACACCCCTGCCCTGTGGGAAACCCCTCACTGAGGACCTACAGGCAGGCAGATTGTGCACTGAAATCCTGGCTTGGCTGCTGTCAGCTTCATTTTCACAGAAGGGGTATTGACTAGCAGTGGCTTTTCTGTGTTCACCTGGTGGTACAGCCTGTCAGCTACAGTGTAACCACTCATATTTTGTAGTTTAAATTCCCAACAAGAACCAGGTGTGGTGGCACACGCCTGTAATCCCAGCACTCGGGAGGCTGAGGCAGGAGGATCCTCGTGAGTTGGAGACCAGCCTGGGCTACAAAGTGAGCTCAAGGCCAGCCAGAACTGCATAGTGAGACCCTGTTTCAAAAAGACAAAAACAAAACAAAACAAAAACCAGTTACAGAATTAATAACAAAAATTAGGGCTGGGGGTTTAGCTCAGTGGCACAGCACCTGCCTGGCAAGCGCAAGGTTGTGAGTTTGATTACCGGTACCGGAAAACAAAACAAAACAAAACAAAAAAACCAAAATTAAAAAAAAAAAGGAAAATAACAAAAATTAAAGTGCTGGGGAGAAAAAGACCTAAAATAGCTGGTGTTGGTCTTGAGCTTGAGCTGGACAGTGGCTGACAAGAAAATTACTGTTGGAAGATGTGAAGATGATGACTCATCTTAAACTGTAAGCTGGGAATAGCTAAGAATACTGTATAATAATGCTTCCAGTTAAACTGCAAGCTGGGAATAGCTAAGAATACTGTATAATAATGACCAAATGAGGCTGGGAATTTAGGCAAAATAATTGGGAAGGAAAATATTGATAGCATGCTTTAGCTGTTGTTGGGTACTTTGCACAAGTTACTGTAAGAGTAGCTGGTCCATTTTTAAGCAGAAATAGAGAATACAGAAACTCCAGGCAAGTGATCTAC